TATAGTCTGGGAGAAGTAGATGACAGCTGGGACAGCTTGCATAGCCACCAGTTTGTCTGCATTTGTTTCTGTGCAGGGTAAGAACTGACATATGGTGTCAGTGACGAGCACTGAGATGTGCTGGCTGTGACTGGCAGAGCTGAGTGGGCTCAGCACTGATTCAGGGCTTTGTGCCAAGCTGTTAGAGTCAGGGCTGCTTGTTGTTAAAACACTCTGGAGTTCAGAAGGTCTGTTTGTAGTCTGGTGCTCCTGCAGGTCTTGTCACTGACCTTTGATGTGCTCCCATCTCTCATCTCTTTAGAAGGACCCATGCAAGCACAGCTGCTGAGTTTACCATTATAAGTAACATCGAAGTACTCTACCTCCTGTGTGAAGAAGACTCTGTAAATTGCACTGTTGTTAGAATTGCTTTTGATTAAGTGCTGTGCTTCTCAGCTCCTCCACAATGCTCATACTTCACAGCATTCATCACACTCCCTCGTGCTTCCTGTAGGTGCTTTTTCATATCTCCCATGACCTGAGCCTTGCAGCTCTGAGCTATCGGAGCGCTACTTGGCCTGAGGTAGTGAAGAGTGTTCTTGGAGCTGTGACCCGCAGTTACGATGCTGGTAATTTCACTCTGATGCAAGAGATTTGCAGGATCATCCTTCCTGAAGGTAAGGCTCTTCTTGGGTATCTCCTAACACCAACAGACGGGGCTCTTCCTTGCAAGTATCCATTATTACCAATAGGCATGTTTGGAAGGAGTCAGACATACCCATATCTCTGGAAACCTGTGGAATTTGACTAGTGCAAGGGCCATTGGGCCATCAAAATTCAGACTTGCAGTCTCATGCTAGCTGGAACAGAGTATTGTGTTTAAAAAGATGCCAGAGATGTCTGCCTTTGCTTTCCTGCTTCCTGCACCACTCTGCCAGCACCGGAGTAAATCTCTGGTTTGGATCTCCAGGATAGCTGTTAATTTACCAAATCTGGTCTTTTTCTTCGTAAAGTCCTATAAACTATTTATAATCCTTTTTTGTTTGGTTTTCATTACCAGGCTGTGATAACCTGAGACACAAACTGGACAGCACACATTCTGAGAGCATGGATGCTTGCAGAAGTTTAGAGGGCTTTGTGGCTTACGGACTGCTCTATGACCTGTGGTGGAACCCACCCAAAGACTCCCTTATCTTGCAGAAGGCTGATGTGGATTCTGTGCTGTGTCCCATTGAGCAGACAGGTCTTGAGAAGAGTTACATTTCAGGTCAGTCCTCCTCTGAAGAAACTCCTGATCAAAGTGCAGTTGAGATGGATGAAGACCGCTGCAATACAACTGAAGTTCAGAGGTGTGAGGCAGAAAGTGACTCAAGAACTACCTCGGTTGATTTAGTAGACAGACAGTCAGAACTGAAGGGCTGCAAAGTGCTTCTTGTAGAAGAGATTGCTGCTTTACAGAACACCCAGAGAGATATAGCTGAGGTCCAGCAGATTTTAGCAGATATGATCCGTCAGCATCAGCAGGAGAGGAACAGTCTCCAGGAAAACACAACTGGAAGCACCCAGGAAAGCAATCTGCAGCAAAGTTCAGAGACTGAATCAGACAAACCACACTCTGACAGCAACCACATGAATGGGTAAGCTTCAGAACATGAATGAATGGATTGAAAAGTGTTGCTTTTTGTGTGTGTTTATACAGCAATTTCTTTCTTAGCTCAGATTACCTCTAATCTCCAGCTCATCACCCAGGGACACTTCAACATACAGCTTTGAGTACTTCAAAAGCCTGGCATTTCCCTGGGGCTGAACCACCATGTGCACGCAGTTACTGCAGCTGGTGAATTCCCTGATACACAGGGTGTGTTGTTACAGTGAATAAATAGAGCAGCCTGAAAAGGGGAGGGATAATGAGAAGGACAAGCATGGTTTAAGAGGTCTGTCTCTCTGCTGGACAGTTATTTAGGACTTTGGAAGAATGAGCTAGCACATGTTACACTTGTCCAGCTCTCTCCTGTGCTTGCTGTACAAGGAGGTGATGTGGTCAGTTAAGCAAACCAGTTACTCACGACACCTGCTCTTTTCTTGACAGTAAAGATGAAGTAAAACAACCAGTTACACTACCTGAGCTCACAAAGCAACTTCTGAAAGCAAAGCAGAAACTAGCAGAATTTCCAGACAATTTAAAGGTAAGTTTTCGGAAGAGGCATTGCAGTCCTGGAAGAAGTCTTTTTGTAAGGGCAGCTTCCTCACAGAATCCCTTTCATACAGAAAGTAAGGAACAGTGACTTTCCTTCTGATCCTGTGGCAACTCTGAGAGAGAATTGACACATGGCATCAGGGTGATCTCTTTCTTTCAAGCATGAGTTTCACCATGCAGTTGGAAAGTGTAAGTAAAGATCCTGCATGGGAAAACTCAATGGGATATTCATAGAGTCAACAGAATGGTTTGGGTTGGAGAAGGGTATTTGGATGAATCTCTCCCATGCACTTTAAAAGTAATCCCTTGCTACTTAGAATTAATTACATAAGCAAAACCATTGTGATAATCAGTGAGATCAGAGATTTAACGTATAAAATGGCCTTTATAGATTAGGAAGTACAGAAACTACACATCACATGTTTGAAAACAGTATTACCTAGGTTGTCTCATTCCCTCTGTTCTCTCATCTATAATATAACTAAAGGTAGTCATGGTGATTGTGCAGGAGGGGGCAAACCGGGTTACAGGTAGTGCTAATGCACTGGAAGAAGAGTCAAAACTGCATTCAACTCGTGACTGACTGTTCCAAAGATACTGCAAAGCATTGTCTTTGGAGAGCTGATGCCTCAAGTATGTTACAGCTGAACAATTACAACTGAAAGACATCACCTCATGTTCCTTGTCTTGCAGATCTTCCCGTTCCCCGACGTGCTGGAATGCTGCCTCGTGCTCCTTCACACTGGATCCCAGTGTCCTCCTGAGCTGCAGGAACAGGCTCTGGATGTCCTCAGGAAACATGGCAGTGCTGGTGTCTACAAGAAGGGTGTCAGGAGGTTCTTGACATGACATCTCGAGACCACGCTGTTTCCTCTTGAGCTGCCAACACCACCAAGGCTCTTCTTTCTTCAAGTGAAGGCTTGTTTTGATGGCTGGGGTAATTTTGGATAAAACTACAATAAATCAGCGTTATACAGGCTCACTTGCAGTCAACTACTACTCCTTAAGGAGATTGTGTTAGCAAATGGAAAAGCAGTAGGTTATGGGGTTGAACTGTATAAAGGACTTTTGTATAGTCTTTTTTTATTTGATGGAAGTTATGCTAATGAAAACTCTTACTACTGACGTGCAAGAGAAACAGTTTGGAGCAGCTCTATCTGCCATTCAGCAGAGGAGGAATAGTAGCTACCCTGAAGAAGAACGGCTTCTGTAAGCAAACTGCCCCTTACCTCAGTTTTGTTCTTAAAAGCATTGTGAGTTTCTTTTCCCTCCTTTAAATAAAGTCTTCTACCAGCATGGACTGGCATTTAATTTGATATATAGAAATCGGTATCAATCAAGGGCACAGGCAGTGAAAATAAGCCTGGGGTTTTTTTGTTGTTAAATGTACTCTGTAAATCAAAGTTAGTAGATAAACAAGTGTGGTATGATTTAGCTTTGCATGCTGAAGCCACCAGTGTAGAAACTTTTGTGGTAGGATGGGGCAGGGAGGGGTCATGAATCTAGAAAGTTTCTCAGTACAATAAAAGAATAGGAGGGATGGACTTGTCAGATCAAGACCTGTTCCAGATTCTTCCCAGCCAAAATGCAGACTTGCTACTGATAGATTTCCTGCTCCAAGCTGGGTAAAGCCTCAGAACAACTTGAAGAGCAGGAAGTGAAAGCTGGAGGTTATACTACAAGATGTGTTAATGCCGTAAACTGCTGCCTCTAAGTTGAACTTGCCGCATTCTGTACAAAGCATTTGCAAACCAGGAGGGGGAGCCTGCGCTTCACCGAACAGGCTCCTACCCTTCAAACACCAAGTGTAGATGGAGCAGGAAAACTTCACACAGAACAGATAATCAAAACAGATTTGGCTAATGCTGCACAGAAAGAACACTCAACACCACCACCAGCTGTGCTGAGGTGAGCAGAAAGAGAGCTCCAGTCCCCCAAAAACAGCTTGAGCTCAACTTCCATCAGCTCCTGTACAATAGCCTCAGGCAGATTTTACTAACTACCCCAGCAGCACATCATAAATGGTAAAAGTTGAGCATCTTTGAGCACGTATGACTCTACTTTGGATAAAGCCTCAACTTTGGGAATTTTAGTGCTTGATGGAAAACCCAAACCAAAGCCTGGTTTAAAAAAAAAAATTTATTTTACAAAAATTAAAAACAAGTAGTATTTACAAGCATTTGAAATACCAGCTCTAAAGCTCAGCTCCTACTCATGGATTGGTTAAGCTTGTTTAAAATGCAAGATAAAGTCTTAACATTTTAAGCTTGCCATGTTCAAAAGGGTTAAAGGTGCTTTTCTTTTAAGAAATATTAGAGCTGTTGAAAATAGAACAGCTCATTTTCTAGAAAGTCAGAATCCCAAGTTGTTCCTCCATCATCTGATGACTTCAGATGTTGATAACGAAGAGAAACGGAGCTGTTCTGCTTGTTGTTAAGCAGATAGTAAAATTAGGGGCTGGAGAAGTGAGGGAAGAAGAGGAACAAGTATCTGCTGACCTACTTGTGTTGCAAGGAGAAGAATAAAATTTGGAGGTTAAGTTGAAGAAAACTAAAGTCAAAGCATTGGTCCAAGCCCCTGCCAAAGGCAAACTTTTAGGCTGCTTAAGCTATTTCCAGAACAGTTTCCTAATACCCGTAAGAACTAAGCTGAGGCTCAGTGTGGGTCAACCTGTACCACACAGAATTAGAAACTATGGAGAGCTGCTCAAATCAGCTCCAGGAATATCCATCCCCACTGTTGTTAAAGCAAATCTCTGAATATTTTTAGCTGCAAGGATCATTTTTAATGTCACCTGTTCCCAAACCTCCGCAGTGATCAAAGGGAGCAATTTCCACAGACCACACCAAGATAAAATAAGCAACACATGAGGTGAAGCAGTCACCCTCACAACGTGCACAAGTTTTAAAATAAGCTTTATAAAGCACAATTTACAAAGCTGTGTGCATGTCTGTGTCACTGGATTTCCAGACCCTCAGCTCTACTCAATATTCTACCCTTAAGTCTTCCTTGCAGATTCTGTACAGTATAAAGAGGAAAAAACCAGAGGTATATACAGTAGGTTCTTTTGCCCTTGGTATTAAAAAGATGGCAAACCACAAATGCTGGCATTAGGAATTCGGTCAACTCTCTTCTTGTGGGTTTCAAATGAAGATGCAGCTCTTCAGCAAAACTGCAGGCCTTGTGCAGGCTGGATGTGCTGCAGATGCCTTTCGTTTGAGACAGTGTTAGGGAAAATGGTTGAGGACAGCAGCTGCCAATATGGTAAAACCACGTTGTGCTGAGGAGTGCCACTCATCACGGCTGCATATTGTTGATAATAGCCAAAATGCTCATTTTCTCCTGGGCTGAATCCACATCTTCACTCTGTTTCTGAGCCACTCCTGTGCCGAGGCCATAGAGCCGCCCGCAGTACTTTGCATCATCAATTGTATCCTCAAAAAACAACTGCAGGTTAAAAAAAGGAATAAACAGGTATTGTTTAACTGTGCCTCTAAATGTTAATTTAGCACCCCATGTTAATTAAGGCAGCTCATTTGAAGTCAGCCACCTCCAAGACGCAGCATGTGAATTAAAGTAGGTACATGAAAGAGGGGCAGACAGAAGTCTGTGCCGATATCAACACTTCCTATTGTTGACAGTTTGAAGTGTGATGGTCACAAGGCTCAAAAAAAAAAAAACAAACAAACCCCACACACAAAACAAAACCACATTGTGCACATTGACATTTATGGATAAGAACTGGAGAAAGAAGAACTGTAAAGAACATCACCACAGTACCTCTTTCATTCTGAAGAATGCCATTCCTGTGAGGAGAGAGTCCGATCCTGCCTGGTGCTGCCGTCCAATTCGCTGCAGATCCAGCTGATCTGCCACTTCCTGAAGGCCACCCTGCACCGAGAACACAACAGGGTTGATGTCGGAAGACCCATCTCTTACCAGAATTGACATACTTCTCCAAAACGTGCTGAGTGAAACACAGCAGTAAATATTGCTCAAGAATGCATAAATATTCATCCCAAATTCAGGAACCTTGCTTTTCTTCCGCAGGTACTTGAGGTGACTGTGGGTACATTCACAGGTTACAAATGCTGGCCCTCTCCCTCCCTCAAACAAAGCTGTGATTCAGTAGATAAGTTATTTTCAAGCCTCTGAGTGACTACCAGGTAATCAAGCCATGGAGCAGTTCATGTAAGAAGAACTACTCCACCTTGCACAGGGCAGATAAGCAATGCTGCGTTGTAATTAGCCTCTGACATTACTGATACACAAACCGGAAGGTTCTGGGAACATCCCCTGTGTAATATACACACTGATAAGACTAAAGCCAGGGAGGCAGTTATCTATGAGATACAAACTTAGTCATAGGTGCTTATGTGTGACTACCAGCGTTTAAACACGTTCCAGTTCAAAGATGACATATGTCACTTGGCTTTACAATTTACAGGGTTGATGCCTGTCATCATTTGCTGGGGACATACAAGTACCTTGAGGTTTTTGCAGCTCTTCATTAAGTACTTTACATCATAGATAGATGGGAAGAAAAGGTTCAAGATATGGAAAAATTCATGTTCCTCTTCCGGTAACCTGGAATCTGTCAACAACTTCACCATGTAGCCAAAGTCATAACCACTGAAAACAAAAACATACAAAAACCAGATAAGCAGAAAATACCTACACTCAGTTGGTACCAACATCTCATTTTTCACAAGAGTTTTATGTGCTGTAGCTTTCAGACCTTCACATTTTCCAACATTCATAAAACCCCTCTGGATCAGAGCCAGAATTCATCCTGCTCATCTCTGTCAGTGTACAACTTCTGAATGCTCCCTGGGTGCCTCGCTAACCTCTTGTGGAACAGCTAAGCCACGGGGAAGAACAACCTTTTCTTCCCAACACTGCAAGTTTCTGTAGCTATGGGCAATACAGAAAAGCAGGAAACCCTGTAAGCATCTGTTGCCACCACCTCCTCCTCTCTCAAGTCCTTTCACTTGTGATAGTATCAAGGACCAGAGGCTTTGTCATCAAGTTGCCTGAAACTCCACAAGAAAGACAGCTTAACTGCATCTTAACTGTAAGGAAGAAGAAACAAACCCCTTACTTTACAATGCATGCAAGTTACTAAGTGTAGAAATCACATTTCAGCTTCCTCCAGAGAGGAAGACTGTAGCAGCAAAAGGATTTGCAAGCAACGCATACACAAAATCCAGATCACAGCAAGTGCTAGTACAAAAATTAAGTGCCAACTGTCCTGACTTCTTAAACTTGGCCTTCATATCTTTAAGCTCATTTTAAGAACCACAGAGCTGCTAATTCTTCTCCCTAAAATCTGTGTCAGTCTCCATGGACAAAAGCAGTGGTATTTCAATCAAAAAGAGATTTCTCACTTGCCAGCATCAGTGATCATCCCGGACCTACCTGTGGAAGGACAGCCACTTCACACTGTCACTAAGCACAACCCCAGATGTCATAAGCAACTCAGCAAAATGCAGGGTATCGATGCCTTCTTCTTCATGCTTCTGGAACTGCAGCCCAGAGCTGGCGAGGAGGTCTATGGAATCCTGAGAGTACATGTCCTCCCTGAAGGAGAAAAGCAGCTTTGCATTTCAGGTGCTACCAAATTTCATCAGTTTTAAAACCACTGCTGCAGCCTCCTACATCTCTAACAACCTGTTCTGCAATCATTAATAATTCTGTTGCTAGTGCAAATTCCAAAGATTCCTCTGTAGAACTGAATGGCTTTGAAAAATGTCACTTCCGCATGGAAGCACCAAGGATGAGAGCCTGGGGAAAAGGGGAATTCTCCCACGTAGGCAGATGTGCAACTCCAAAGCACTGAGCATCATTCCTGTCTACATTTTTCTTCTTCACTTCACAGCATGTGCCACCGAATCATCATCTCCAGCTCTATCTCTGGGAGTAAACAAAATTGCCTAATACTTGGCTCAGGAAGGAAGACAGGGATGAGCGATGAGACACTTGGTGGAGAGCTGAGCGGGAACCCGACTTCCACACTGATTGGTTTCATTTGAGGGTTGGGGGAGGGACGGACGTGACAACACACAGCAAAATTCAGGCCAAATATGGTAATTGATGCACGTGAAGTGATCACACTGTGCAAACTTCACTGCGATTTCAATACTTCAAGAGGCTCAGAAGTTTGTGGAAGCAGAGATTGCAACTTTGGGGCTCAAGAACTGGATGATCAGCACACACCAGCTATGAGTTTTTGTCATGTTCTCCAATGACAGTTCCATAAAAACACTGATTGGTTTCCTAGAAATGTGTGGGTTTGCCAGATAAACCCTCTCTTTATTTCCAGGCAGCTCTAGTGGTAATTATGCTGAGTTTGTCTTTACAATTACAGGGGAAGGGATAATGAAACTTGTTTCAGCTGCAACCCAGGATATTGCAGTATGGAGGAAACAAGAACAACTGCCACACTCCACTGAGCAAGATTCATTCTCCCAAACTGATGTGACAATTACATCAACATTCTGCTTTAGATCCCAGTTTATAGTTTAGCAAGGATCTCTAAAGAGGTATTTTCCTTTCTGCTGAAAATAGCACACCCATGTACTTTTACCAGAAAGAGATAGATTTACCTATATATTTATATATAGATATTTATACAAAATGTATAAAGTTTCAGACCGTAACAGTGTTCCAGAAGAAAAGTTTAAGGAACGTAAAACTACAGGGAAAGGGTATTAAGGATACGATTCTGGCACGGCTTTGGCTTCCAGAAAGACTGCAAACTCCATTCACGCCACAGCAGTTTACCACGAAAATCTGTGTTAGAATCTGAATGTTTATTGCTCAGAACCAGACAGTGATGAACATACAGACACCTGCGTTTGCCAAAGCATCGC